TAAGCGTCCGACTTCAGCCAGGTCACGATCTTGCAGTCCGTGAGTTCGAGCCCCGCGTCGGGCTCTGGGCTGATGGCTCAGAGCCTGGAGCCTGTTTCCGATTCTGTGTCTCCCTCTCTCTCTGCCCCTCCCCCGTTCATGCTCTGTCTCTCTCTGTCCCAAAAAAATAAAAAAAAATTAAAAAAAATAAAAAAAAATGAAAGGAGGTGGAGACACAAGCAGGTCTGTAAGGAGAAGAGCTCCTGGAGGAGGGTAAGGTGACAATCCACCCAAGAGGGAATGGGATTCCTGGAGGAGACAGGGAGGAAAGGACTAAGCACAGTCAAAAGGGATGGGGGCCAGCTCCTTCTGGAGTCAGTAAAGGTGAAAACAGATACAGCTGCGTGTGGGGAAGGCAGGTGGAGAGCGGAGGTCGGAGAAGGTCTTTGCTGAGTGGCTCTAAGATGTGTGCAGGATGCAAAGTCTTTGCAGGAAGCATTGAGGAGGTTAGTGTTGCACAGCATGGTTGAGGAGAGTGGCGAAGCACTGATGTGTCCACTGGGAGGAATAGAACCAGAAATGGGTGGTGGACAAAAGAAAAGACAGTTTATGGGGCGCCTGGGTGGCGCAGTCGGTTAAGCGTCCGACTTCAGCCAGGTCACGATCTTGCAGTCCGTGAGTTCGAGCCCCGCGTCAGGCTCTGGGCTGATGGCTCAGAGCCTGGAGCCTGCTTCCGATTCTGTGTCTCCCTCTCTCTCTGCCCCTCCCCCGTTCATGCTCTGTCTCTCTCTGTCCCAAAAATAAATAAAAACGTTGAAAAAAAATTAAAAAAAAAAAAAAGAAAGAAAAGACAGTTTAGAATGCTGATTCTCCAGCCAAGACAGGAAGGCATAACTTCGCTGTTTCAAAATTTCCCTAAGCAGTCATTCAGAGGTCGAGAGAGAAGTCACCATTGCAGGGCACGAGTGTGCTCAGAACAAGGGGCAAGGGAGTTGAGAGTAGTATATGGGAAGTGCAGTATATGGAGAGAAGGATTTAAGAGGAGGGCAGCAGAATGAAACAGGATTTGATGAAGAGTCTGTGGGTCTTGTTACCATCCAAGAGTGCAGTAGGGAGAGTGGGAGAGGTGGGCACTTCAGAGGAGGCTGTTGAAGAAAACAGAGTGGAGGTGAAGGCCCTTGCAGGAGAGGACCCACATGTTGGATGGCGCAGGTGGATGGAATGGAAGCCAAGGTCTTCTCACGAGAGGAGGTGTGCAGGTTGGATGGGACACTCTGGGGGGCTGAATTTGTGCCAAATAATGCCTCTCATCTTCGTTTCAGTCCCTCCTTCTTCTAACATCTTGAAAATTGGAACCGTCGACTCAGTTTCTTTTGCAGCATCATTTAACCCTCTTTCTCAAGACCAAATATGGTATTCATGGATGAACTAAAACTCATATTTGTATTAAACGGGGTGTCATTTGTATTAAACAGGGAATCATTTCCTTTGATTGGGTTCCATCCATCTGGACAGTGAAGCAAGGCTTTTTAGAATATATCAAAGGCAGCAGAAAACACTAAATCTGATCCCAATCCCCTTGCAATAAATAGGGAACTCAGAGCCTGTTCAAGATCACCCCTGCCCACATGGCTGCTCACACTGCTCCAGTGTGACAGGACTCATGCTTTGGACAACAGTCACTCTGTTGGCATGCTCCACCCACAAATGGCTTTTCAGTTTTCTAAAGCTCTCCTAAAGCATGAACTCTCTGATGACTTAAAGTTTATTTATGTTGCAAGTGGAAAGCAATGTATAATATGTCACATAGTAAAGATATGACTGTAATATAAGGTCATTTGTTTATACATCACTGTGTTCTGGGAGAGCAGTCCCTGGAAATTCTTATCTTTTGAATGACATTTAATACAACACTCTCATTTCTCAGTCCCATGCCCACCTCAGCTCCTCACTGCCATGGTCATGTTCAAGAACTTGTTCATCGTTACCCATAAATTCTAAGACCTCTAGACCACACATCATACATCCTGACTACCATCTTCTAACCTTCCAGATGACTTCTATGAGAAGTAACTGGTCCCATCCAAAACTCCAGTCCACATCGTCACTGCCTACCACCCCCTTCACTCCCCATCTTACTCGGTTTGTTATCTGTGTCTGTCACTTTAGGCATTCCCTTGCCCCCTTGCCCTTCCTCATACTCTCCAAGCAAAACTTCAGCCGATTCTCCACCTCCTCCATGCAGAGTGGCTGAACACAGCTGGAGACAATCTTCATCTCTCCTGAGTGGTCTTTATTTAAAAATTAAGACCACAAATCTCAAGCGGACCTTTGGTCTGCCCTAGTAAATTTGCCATCCATCTCTTCAAGATAACTATTTTATTGTGGTCGTCACTCTCCAAACCCCTAAGACCGTTTCCTCTTCCTCATTCCCAGCTGATAATCTCTCTTCTGACCCATGGAGGGAGCAGCAACAATGAGAAGACAATCACCATATCCTCCCACCACCAGACCAACGAGCCAGGCTGCACCCTCCCTGCCACAGAGTCACTGCCCCTGCTCTCATCCTAGGCCCTGCACATGTGCACTGGACCCCACCCCTTCTCACTCAAGAGCTGAATTCCTGCAGTCATCCCCTTTCCCTCCCATTTGTTTTTTGCCCTATAGATCCTTGTCATCAGCATCTATGCATGCTTTATTACCTCCCGTCTTTAAAAACACTGTCCCGACATCACAGATCCCCCTCCAGCTCTTACCTTGTCCCTCAACTCCTCTTTAGGGCTGTTCCCCCCAAGAATGGCTGCATGCCTCCCTCCTCATCCTCAACCCCCATTCTCTCTTTCACCTATTCCAGTGAGGCCTTTGTCCTTACCACCCCACGGATTACTCTTCTCAAGGTCGCTGGCATTCATCTTGCCAGATCCAGTGGCCTGTGTTCTGTCGTCCACCTCACATGACCTCATAGCAGCTGATAAGTCCTCTTCCTGGACGTGCTTCTGGCCAGCACACCACCACGCTCTTCTCCTTCCCCTTTGCCTCATTTGGGACTCCCCCTACTCCTGCAGCTTCTCCACATCCTCCAGATCCATAGGCTTTTGGAATAGGCTAGGACTGAGTCATCTGCTCTTTTCTTTTCGTTATCTACCTTTTCTCTATAGGTGATCTCATCCAGTTTATTAATTAAGTACTTAAATATTTTCAGGATGCGTGTGCCCCTCACATTTCTGTCTCCAACCCCAATTTCTTGCCCAGCTGAGGTTCACACACGCAAACTCACATTCATTATCTCTGTTGAATGGTTTAAACACATCTCAAAATGTATGTGTCTGAAAAGTGACTCTTGCCCCTCACTCAAAACAGAACAAGGCAAAAAATTGTTCTTCCTTCAGTTTTTTTTCTTTCTTAATTAATGACTTTGCCATTTTCCCATATGCCCAGACTAAAACCCAAGGGATCATTCTTGGTGCCCCTCTTTCTTTCACACCCTATCCCAAGTCCTAGTGGGATGGAATGTTAGAGAAAGTATCAGCCATTTCTCACCACTTCCACCATGGCATCCTTGTCCCTGCCACCATCATCTCCTGCCTTGACCATGGAGATGTCTAACTAGTCTTCCCGCCTCTGCTCTTTTCACCTCATGCAGCAGGCACAGTGGCCTTTCAGAAATAAAACTCAGATCATTGTCTGCCTAAAACATGCCAACAACTTCCCATAACACTTAGAATAAAATCCAAATTCCTTACTGGGGTCTGCAAGCCCTGACTATGCCTTAGACTTGAATTAAGCCCGACCCTCTTCCCCATTGCTCACTCAGTACAGTTACACTGGGCTCCCACGTGCTCCCCAGAGCCCATCAAGCACACTCGTGTGCAAGGAGCTTGCTGTTCCCTCACAGAAAGACTCTTCTCTCAGGATCTTATCTCATTCTTTCATATTGTTGTCCAACCCTGTCACTGTTCTCTATGTCCTTACCTCATTCTTTTCTCCCTAGCACTTGTCACTATCTCAGACTATGTGACTGATTTGGATATTCACCTGCTCCTTTTCTGTCTCCTCTATTTGAAATAAGGACCACACAGGCAGCAACATTGCCAGCGTTGTTTGTTGTTGTATCCCTAGTGCTAGAGGGACCCCTTGTACCTAATAGGTGCCCAATATTTGTTGAATGAATGAACAAATGTGTACATATACAAAGCACCTTTCACAGTGTTCCCACTTGAAGCTTAGGCAATTCTTTAAGGAAAACCTTTCATTTTACAAAGCAATCTCCATTTTACAGATGAGGAAATGAGGCCCAGAGAGATTATACGATTTCCACAAGGTCATATGGCTTGTAAGTATGAGAGCTGCTGGGACACCAAACTGGATTCTAACTCCTGATCCTTCTCCCGCTCGACAGATTTCCTCCAGCCCTCTCCCTTCGGGGCCCACACAGCGCCGGCTCAGTGTCAGCCCCAGTATCGGAGGTGAGACCGGGCTCGTGAGCTGTGTGCTCCCTGAGGACCTATTCACCCAGATCCTGGCTGATCGCATACAGGTACGTCCGTGCCCACCTGCCCAGAGCTGCACGGCTCACACTCCATCCCTGAGCTGGGACCTGAGATTCCGATCCACAGCCCACCCATGGCGGCTCAGAACCCAGGGATCTTGGAGAGGAAAGGTGGGCTTCTTCACCCCCAACAGTCATTTGCTCTTGTCCTTTTGACAGCTCTTGTTAGGCAACTGGCCCTGGCGCAGTCTGCTGCCTGAAGTCACTCTCCTTAAAGGACCATTGAGCATGTTACATATTAAAAAAAAAAAAAAATCAGATTCATGATACAGCCCTACAGTGGTATATTAAAAAATCATAACATGGAGCCATGGAAAGTTAGAATTTGGAACCATATTAATTGCTGTAAAAATCTGTTTTCAATGTATTAAGTGAGAAAAGCAGGTTATGAAATAGTATGTACAGCACAATTGCATTTCTATAAAAATATGTCTAAATGTATGTCATACAAACAGTAAAAACTCTGAAAGTATATTAACTGTGGTTATCTTTGGATAGCAGGATAATGGATTTTTAGTTCTGTTCATACATTTCTGAATTATTTTACAATGCCACATTGCTTTTCAAGTCAAAAAACACAATAACCGTTTCCAGTTAAAAAAAAATTGTTTTCATAAGCATTGTACAGTTAAAGAAAAGAAAACAAGATCAGCAGGATTTGGGAGGACACCCCTAAGCCTGTTTGCTGCTTATGGTTTGCAGAGAACTAAACCGCTCACCAGGTCCTGGAGTTGTCCATTGGCTTTGGCTTTTTCAAAGTAGGCCACGATATTAGTTGCACATTTCAATATAACAAAATACGACCTGAGGCTCCCAGAAGAGGAGATGTCATCACAGGAAATTACTCAGGTTAAGATTTGATGGCTACTGTGTTCACAGTGCTGTCACTCTCAGCTGACCTGAGCAAGGTGAGCTGATAAGTGTGCTGGTGTTTCGTGTACCCAGGTTAAATCACTGGTAAAGCCCAAAGTAAGCCAGCAGAGCAGTGCTACTCGAAGTACTGGTCTTTGATGAAACATGGAGTTTGCGTGGCTTCCTTCATCAACAGTCTTGCTACAAAAGAAACAAAACAAAACAAAAAAACAGCAGCTGAAATAAATAGTGTTTTTCGTGATGTCGTTGATTTACGTTCTGGCACAAGATTCTGGTCTCATCAAACACTGGTAGTGATCAGCTCCTGGCCAAGGGTGGCCAGTCTGTGTACCACCCTTTGAGTAACACTGATGTACAACAGAGGCTGCTCCTCAGTGGTTAGTATTACCAAGATCGTTACACGCCAAGGCAGTAACGCCACTGAAAGATCTGAATGGCCCACCTGCTACTGGTGCCCTTGCTGTTACTCTGTGAGGGGGGATAACTTGCCTTTCCCTCCTCTCTGCCTGTTCCTCATGGACCTGCCCAAACCCTCACTTTCACGTTTAGTTTGCGTTCCTTATTTCTGTAGAGATAGGAGAAATCTTTTATTCTATAAATACGTGTGATAAAGCTCTTGCATGACTGATAAAATATTTTTATTTTTCTCTCAAATTTTATAACAGCATGTTGAATGTAGCAGGTGGAAGGGTGGTTTGACAGCATTTACATGGGGGCCCAGTAGGTCAGCAGAGACCATTGCAGCCCCCAGTAAAACCACCCACGAAAGAACAAGCAACTTTCTCCATAGAGAACCCGGTAACTGTGGCCTTAGTTACTGTCTTTTCTCACTCTGGTTTCAGCTGAGTGACTGCTTCCGCGGAGTGGTGTTTGATAGCGTTGAGACCCTCTTTGCTCGGAACCCGGCTATGGCTCTCCTCTGCCTGCTGAAGGCCATCGGCAACCGGGAGCACATCTACGTAATCAACATGGCCCAGGATTACACAGTCATGAAGGCCCAAGAGAAAGCCAAAAAGGAGCAAGAAGGTAAGGCCCCGTACTCTTCTGGGCTGCCCTTCCCAAGCCCTAACAGCCCTTTCAACAGAGCCTTACACTTTTTGAAATGCTTCTCCACCACGTTGAGCCACTGTGCAGATGAAACTATTACATCTGCCATGTCATCGGTGCTCACCTCCGCCCTGTAAGGTGACCAGAAGTTCTTATTTCTACTTTGCACCTGAGGGAACTGAGGTGCGGCTGACCTGTCGGGAGACTACAGGACAGGGAATGGACCCAGCCAGCTCTTCTTGTAACAGACACGTTTCCCTTCCCCCTAATATCACACTGCATCCCTTCTCATCTTCCCTGTAATCACAACCAACCCTTGGGGGACACATCACAAGTCCCATCCTGACTCAGGTGACTGATTAGCTTGTTGTTTTTGTTTAAGGGGACTGTACATTTCCTGCAAACACTGGAAGTGCTCATAAACTTGACAAAACAGCTTCTACATCTTAGCCTCCTGTGTCCCATGCACTGCAGCCAACATTCTGTACACTTGAAATGTCTCTAAATGGCACTGTGGGTTATTTAATCCTTACAGTAACCCTCTGGGGATCATTGTCCCCCTTTTACAGACAAGGAAAAGGAGGCTCAGAGACATCAACAGTGTAAGATCACACAGCAAATTAGTAAGGTCTTTATAACTCTGAAACCTTGCTTTTTCCTGTCATTACAACAGTAGCTTGAAAAAAATTTCAGTGATTGAAAATTAAACACACACACACACACACACACACACACACACACACACACACACACTCAGAGTAATGTTAGCTTGAGTTCCCAATTTAGTCATAAGCAGACCTAGCAAATTTTGGTCCCCAAGGGAGGAGGTGACACTTTCCTCGGGAGGCAGACTCCTGCTCTGGCCTCAGCTCGGTGACATCACTGCCCTTCCTTACTTGGCCTTACCTCTCTTCTGGAAAAATCCAAGAAAATCATAGTGCTTTTTCATTAAGGAAATAATTACAAACTTGAGCTCTCTTAGTTCTTACACAGAACTTAAAGACTGCTTCCTTACATTCTCATCCAGAGAAAAATCAGGAAGAAAATCCCTGGCAGTGTTCCAGCCTCCGACTTGCTGCTTTTCCAGAAAGCTTATGTCCCCGTTACCATCACCTTGAAATAAAGTATCTCTTTTCATTTTTTCATTTACTTGTGGATTGAGGTTTTTCACCATTGCATTATGGGCTCCTCTCCCTGAAATCTTCTGCATTTGAAAAAAGTCCCAAGGGGGCGCCTGGGTGGCGCAGTCGGTTAAGCATCCGACTTCAGCCAGGTCACAATCTCACGGTCCGTGAGTTCGGGCCCCGCGTCAGGCTCTGGGCTGATGGCTCAGAGCCTGGAGCCTATTTCCGATTCTGTGTCTCCCTCTCTCTCTGCCCCTCCCCCGTTCATGCTCTGTCTCTCTCTGTCCCAAAAATAAATAAACGTTGAAAAAAATTAAAAAAAAAAAAAGTCCCAAGGCAGCATCCAGTAACAATATTATTATATTCAAATCTAATTTTTATTGAACACTTATGAATTTGCCAGGCATGGGCCTAGATGCTTCAGAGGGTTGCCTATATGATCCCCACGGCAGCCTGTGGAGGAAGAACCCTAATTCTTATCTGTTCCTAGCCCTTGGTAAGTGTCAGAGAAGGATCTTCAGATACACATCTCCGAGCCCAAAGCACAGGCCTACAAGAAGTGGAAGTTGTAGAAAAGAATCTGAGAGCCTTTGTGCTGGGCATGAGCATGCTTCTGGACCTGGAATCTGTAGGGTGTGGAAAATGGTTTCCCTTGGTCTGCAAATGGTTCTGTCACCCTGAGCACTCTGGCGACATATGTTTGTAGTGTATGAAGTTCGTGGGTGCTATATTACTTCCCAATCACTGCGGTAGCAAATTACAGACTGGATGCCTCCAAATAACACAGACTTGCTGTCTTACATTTCTGGAAGTCAGAAGTCCTTAAAGCGGGGTGTCCATAGGGCTCTGTTTCATTGAAGGCTCCAGGGAGAGAATCCATTTCCTTACCTTCTCAAGCTTCTAGAGGCCACTTGCATTTCTCAGCTCATGGTCCCTACTTCACAGCATTCTGACCTCTGCTTCCATTGCCACATCTCCTTCTCTGACCCTGACCCTCCTGCACCCCTCTTATAAGGACCTTTGTGATTATACTGGGCCCACTCGGATAATCCGGGACAGTCTCCCAGTGCAAAGTCCTTAACTTAATCACACCTGCAAAATCCTTTCCCCCACACCAGGTAGCGTATTCACAGTTCTGGAGATTAGAACATGGACATCTTTGCAACTACTATTCAGTCTAGCACAGATGGAGACCAGTTTTGGAACTGTGTGAGTGAAGGAAGGCCCACCAGAGATCAAGAATGTCCCCGCAGCACCAGAGCCGCCCTTGCCCTGGCGTAGACACTCCATAGCAAGTGTGGGCTGGGAGCTGAGCCTTTGAGGGCCCTACAGCGAAGGCTGGTGAGTGAGTCACTTTCCCTTACTTTCCTCTCTCTGTTCCCTCCACAGAGAGCAAACGCAGGGAGGCACTTCAGAAAGAGAAGGAGCGTCTCCAAAATATGGATGAGGAAGAATATGATGCCATGACAGAGGAGGAGAAAATCATGTTCAATCGAGAGGTTCGGCAGACCCTCCGGGAAAGGAAGAAGAGGTCAGAATCAAGGGGTAGTCAGGCTGGAAGTGGTTCCCCCCAGGAGTAACACACAGCCCATCCTGGAGACTGGGATCACCTTCCAGGGGAGCAGCATGACCAAGGGAGACACAGGAGGGTCACCTTCTGGGGAGCAGCGTGACCAAGGGAGACACAGGAGGATCACCTTCCGGGGGAGCACTGAGACCAAGGGAGAAAGGAAGATGACCTGCTAAGAGCAGGAAAACACCTTGACCATCAAGGGGACTGGTTGCTGCAGCCTTTCAGGGTTTCTTTCATTGTCCTCCCCGTCCTTCTCTCTGGAGGACATCTGACACTAGAGGGAAGGTTGTATGATATAATGCCAGGGGATTTCTGGCCCCTCTGTTCTCCCAGGGCTCCCACAAGCTTCTCCTGACAACTGCCCCCTAGGTGTGGCTCATCAGCCTCTGTGCTCAGGTGTCCACAGCTGGTGACTGAGGGGCCACTCTCTTGACATAAGCTTAATGGTCGCTCCCCAGAACTCAGTCATTTCTCCTTCCCCAGCCATCATCTTGGCCTTCTGTAATGTTATCTGTGCCCTGAGTTCTGACCGCCTCTCCCACTTGATCCTCGGCCTGGACAGTTCACCAGAGACCCTGGGCAGTCTCTCAGCCACTTTCTGTGCCCATCACTGGGAACCGCACAGGAAAGACTGAATCCCCTCCACACCACATGGGCCCCAGGAGACTCAAGCTATCTCAGATAGCAGTAGAATATGTGTCCTTTCTGCCCTCAGACCTTCAAACGTGCTGGGAGAGGAGGGTATATTGCTTACCCTCCATAGAATTCCACACATTGGCAAAGCCAAGATACTTGCCCTACTGTAGAGGGACATAGTCTCCTTCCACCTCCAGACTCCTCCAACTGACCCCAAAAGAGCTTTTATGCCCTCTCTGCCCCCATAGTATGCCCTCATTTCTTCGTCTGCATGGTCCCTTGTAAAAATGCCCAGGGGGCGCTGCCTGGTGGCTGGGTCTCAGTTAGACATCTGACTTCAGCCCAGGTCGTGATCTCACAGTTCATGAGTTTGAGCCCTGCATCAGGTTCTGTGCTGTCAGCACAAAGCCAGCTTCGGATCCTCTCTCCCCGTCTCTCTCTGCCCCTCCCCCCCTTTCTCGCTCTCTCTCTCTCTCTCAAAAATAAACATTTAAATAAACAAACAAACAAACAAACAAACAAACCCAGTCCTCCAGAGGTATAAAAATACTAGCTTTGGGATTCCAAAGGAATCTCTTTTCTTTCTCATCCAGGTCATTGCTTTCAGGAATTTATTTCATAGTGGACTTGGAAAATATAAATCTGATCCTCAAAGCTCAGTAATGACTTGTTTGTGTGACACACACACACACACACACACACACACACACACACACACCTAGTAATGATGAGCTGGCTACAGTGGATGATAGAGAATCACAGCAACCAGGAGCAACCAGGGATTCCTAGAATGAAAACAGATGGGTTTTGTACTTTCAGAAATGCTGTCCCCTCCACTCTTGTTTATATTTGGTATCCCAGCCTTGGTGCCCCTTCTGCCACTGGCAACAGGGCAGGCCCAGCTGAATCCATAGCAGGAAGGGATAGAGAAAAGAAAGGAATGTGGCTTTCAGATCCACCACCATGGCTCCAAGCTAGCCATTAGGGACTGCTATTTATTTTTTTTTTATTTATTTATTTTTACATTTTTTTTTAACATTTATTTATTTTTGAGACAGAGAGAGACAGAGCATGAACGGGGGAGGGTCAGAGAGAGGGAGACACAGAATCTGAAACAGGCTCCAGGCTCTGAGCTGTCAGCACAGAGCCCAATGCGGGGCTCGAACCCACGGACCGTGAGATCATGACCTGAGCCAAAGTCAGCTGCTTAACCGACTGAGCCACCCAGGTGCCCCAGGGACTGCTATTTAAAACACCATTTCTTGAGACACCTGAGTGGCTCAGCCAGATAAGCATCAGACTTCGACTCGAGTCATAATCTAATGGCTCATGAGTTCAATAGCTGCTTCAGGCTCTGTGCTGACAGCTCAGAGCCTAGAACCTGCTGCGGATCCCGTGTCTCCCTCTCTCTCTGCCCCTCCCCCACTCACACTCTGTCTCTCAAAAGTGAATAAACATTAAAAAATAAATAAATAAAACACTGTTTCTGTTCTAATGTTGTCTGAACATTAGATGTAACAAGTATAGGAAGCTGAGCCACATCTGAACTGATATCAGAACAATCTTTGCAACTTACTTTTTGAAAACTGCTAACGTCAAGCTATTTTCAGCCCTTGCCTTGCTCTCCTATGAAAGAAGACTGATATACAGATTGAGAGTTCCTCTTAGTTGAGTTTGAGGTGACCAGTTTTGCTGAATGACTTTTCAGAGACCCTACTTTCTTTCTTTCCTTTCTTCCCTTCTTCCCTCCCTCCCTGTCTTACCTCCTTCCTTTCTTCCTTCCTTCCTTCCTTCCTTCCTCTCTTCCCTCCTTCCTTCCTTTCTTTCTTCCTTCCTTCCTTCCTTCCTTCCTTCCTTCCTTCCTTCCTTCCTTCCTATTTGCCCACATTATTTACCCACATTTCTTTACCTGCATTTCGTTCTTCTTATGCCCAAGAAAGCTCTGCCCATGTCCCTCCACTGGACACTCCCAGTTAGGGGGAGTGGACAGGAGAGGCTCTAAACTCTGTTTTCTCTGCTTGGTTTGATGAAGGGAGCTGGAGAGGCTGGCAAGGGAGATGCATGAAAAGAAGTTACAGCAGGAGCTTGAGCGGCAAAAGGAAGAAGATGAGCTAAAACGGAAGGTCAAAAGGCCAAAGCAAGGACCAGTAAAGGAGGAACCTCCCACAAAGAAATCTCAAACAGCAAACCGGCAGGTAGCAACCCTCTCTTGCTCCTTAGCAAGAAGCAGAACAGAGAGAGCATACATTGTAACCAGCCCATCAATTCAGTACTTTCCCTTCCACAAAATTGACCTGATACTGTTTGGATTTTGCAGTGGAGCAGAAGGTAGGAGGGAAGGGGCCAACATTTGTCACAGGCTGATTGTGTGCCAGGATCCCTGGCTGCCCTTTATGTAATTCTGTCATTTTGGCCTCCCTCCCACCCTGTGAGGTTCAGAGCCATGAACCCTGCCTGGGGTTGAAAGAGACAAAGTCGTGGGTATCAGACCTCCCCCGGTTACGTCTGACCTCAGTCATTGTACTTTCCACTGTACCCCGCCCTCCCCATAAGTCCCCTGGATGGTGCTGAATAGGCTGGTATTCACAGTTTGCCTCAGTAAGCCACAAAGTCAGTAGAGCCCCGGTGTTCAACCAACAGCTTATCTTGACAATGGTCAAGGAAGGCACTGCAACATAAGCTTGTCCTTGCAGACAACTAGTGATAGTTTACCAGCCTGCCAAGCTTAGCAGTCACATCTCTGGGGCCATGACCCAGGAAGGCAGAACAGCCAACACAGCACCAAGGGTGGTGCTCACAGCCCGGGAGGGTAGCTAGCCAGCTGGTGGGCACTGAGGGTGCTCTGAGGGTGAAGCTAAAGCCAGACAAGCCAGACTCCCAGACAAGATGCAGACTGGTCCCAGTAGATGAGCAAGGCACAGTGACCACATCTGAGCAGACACAAGGGCAGAGGAATTAGGCTTCAGCGGCCACAGTCAGGTAGAGCTCAGGAAGGAGCAGGGTCTGAGCGTGCAGAAACGGCCCAGGCTTGGGAGCAGAACCAAGCACAAGAAGCAAGAAGGCCTGGACTCTCTGCTGTACCTGGCTTCCGGCTGCTCTGTGCTGGGCTCCTGCAACCTTCCAAGGGCAAGCCTTCCCTGCCCCTCTCTGGCCGCTCCTTCCACACAGAGTCCTCTGCCTGAAATCTGTTGTCCGGACAGAACTTTCGGTGTCTTGGCAGTGACTCTACTGACAGTGGAGAAAGACACAGTAGTAGCCAAGCCCCTCCCCTCCATACTCAACTAGGTGAGTGACCCCTCCAGGGGACAGCTCTACCCAGCACTGACCTCCTAGCTGCATTGGAGATGAGACAGAGGAGTGGTACGGTGAGGCGCTGAGGCAAGGGGGAAGCCAACCCAGCGAGCCTGCCTCAGAGCCCAGCTTTATGGAGGAGGCGCACTTTCAGTGGGAAAGGGGGTTCTGGGCTGCTCTGCAGGCAGTGAACATTCGGCTAGACTTCATGTCATCAAAGAATGGACAAAAACCTCTGGGGCCTCCCCAAGGATTCCATCCAGAGGGGAAGAAAATCAGAGCCCACAAAGCAAGTTTAAAAGGGCAGGAGAAAAAGAATGAAGTTGGTTTCTCTAGGCCAGGTTAATTAAATAAATAGGTATTTTTTAAAAGCCAGGGCACAGCCAAATTCTTAAACTCCTGTTTGTTCCCCACGAAGGACCGTGGAGAGGATATTTTAACAAGGACCCCCCAAGATGACACAGACACAGACATAGCCCCTGGGTCTGTAAGAGGCACCTGGGGCTCTGTGAGGCCTTCTTTCAGAACACAATATCCTCTTGCTCTCATTTATGCCGTTGTTCTCCAGTAAAGAAATGTTTTAAGCATGTTTTATGTGTTTTGCCTCCTAGATTCTTACTTTTTCCAAACTAGATGTCAAGATGGATGCAGTAGAAAGGAAAGTATCCATCAGGGAGCAGTTAACCGAGAAGGAGGAACTGACAAAGAAGAGAAGGAACCAACTGGCAGACCCTCACGTGGTTGGGTCTCCCCTTGTCCAGGAGCCAGAGGACAGTGAGGGGGACCTCCTGAAGGATGCTGACAAGCACCTGGCCCACAAGTTTAAGACCTATGAGCTGACTCTCAAAGATGTTCAGAACATCCTCATGTACTGGGACCGGAAGCAAGGCATTCTGCTGCAACACATGGGCACCGAGGACATACCCCACGAGGCTGATGAGCAGCGCCAGGTTCCTTCGGGTGGGCGCCGAGGCCGCAAGGACCGGGAGAGGGAGCGTGCAGAGAAGGAGAGAGCCGAGAAGGAGCGCCAGGAGCGGGAGAAGGCTGAGAGGGAGCGTCTGGAGAAGCTCCGGGCTCTGGAGGAGCGGAGCGATGGAGGAGAGGCTGATGGGGAGGAGGACCATGAGGGGAAGAAGGATCTAGGCGTGCCATTAATAAACATCCAGACACCTGACATGGAAGGCTTGAACTGGAAGCAGGCCCTGGACAATGACAGGCTTCCCAAAGGGGATCAGGTACAGACTCTTTTCCAGGACGCAGATGTAATGAATGGGGTAGCAGGTATTGTACTAATTACCATTAAGGTGTTTCTTTCTGTATCCCCTTAATTCCGTTAATATCTGATTAATCCCTTGGATATAAAACAACAGTGGCTAAAAGGACCTATTTCTAGGTGAAAATCCATACAAAGCTCCACAGATCTAAATTACTCTATCTGACCTCATAAAAAACTGTCTATAGGGTTGATTTTTAATATCAATAATACTGGTGTTACAGGCTGGCAAGGTAGGTACGCTGTAGGGTGAAGCAAGAGGCTCAACTACTTTAAAATCTTGTTCCCACAAGTTCTTATAGTGACAGAAATCATACTATTTATCAAATAGCCTTTGGCCCTAGAAAATATTGCATATCCAGAAGCCTCTTGGGTAATGGTTTGAAGGAGACGGTTACCATAGCCTTTTGTCTGAGGAAGAACTTCTGTAAAGCACCAGAAAGCAAATAGTTTAGGCTGCGGGTCATACAGTCTCTGTCACAACCACCACCAACATATAAATCAATGATTTTGTTCCAATACAACTTCATTTACAAAAGCAGGTAGCAGGCCAGTCTTGACCAGGGGGACACAGTTTGCTGATCTCTGGTTTCGTCTATAAGAAATTAGACACAACCTTAACAAGGAGAGAACAGAGCCTGGGAGGAATGTATGGCAGGTAAGGGTAATGGGAGGACACGGGTAATTCCACAAGGGGGCACATTAGGGTGTGGTTTGGCCCCACAGCAGCAGGCCAGGCGGGCCAAAGGGCAGAAGACCGTTGGAGGACACAACACCACTCGTTTTACAGTTCCGCCTCCACTCAGCCTTAGATAAGGCATCATGGCCGTTTTTCCCCTAGAATTATGTTTTTTTTAAAAAAGAACATCTTCTCATCTTGCTTTGTGCTCCAGTACTATAGCCAAGATGATCTGCTTGCCTTTTTGTTTTCTCTCCACACTCCAAGCCATAGGTTAGACTGTTGGTTATAAAGTTCTTTAACCCTGGCTCTATTAATTTAACAATTGGTACAACTGTTCATTCCTTTCCCTCGCAGACATTCAAACCCTGGGAGTTAACGCTAGCTAAGCATTAGGTCTTTAGCCACCTGCCCTGCAGTTCAGAAACCCAGGATTCCATGAAGACTGTTGCCTGCTTGGCCTAATAGCCCATTTGGTCCACAGAACGGGTGCTCTGGTGGGCTGTAACACCATTGTGATGATGACAAATCTAGAGATAGCATGCTTATTCTGAGGGGCTCCATGCTGAGAAGGAAGTTGCTGCTAAATTTTAAAGGCATCTGCTCTGGAAGATGCTCCTTCAGTATATATGACAGCAGAAGGGGAGAATGCTGTAGGAATGAATGTTCTCTTTGGTTTCTTTTTGACTTATCTCTTCCTTCCCATCCTTTACCCCATTCCCAGAACCTTGGCTTTTTTCTTCTTTGCCATATTTGACCTGCTCTGACCCTATCTTTCAGCATTAGAAGGAAAGAACATTTAAAGGTGAAAGAACAATTAACACGGGATCTGAAAACAGATGGAACAACTCTGTACTATAGACATCAGAGCCTTAAGAGCTAGTCTCTAAAACATAGTTTTGAGTGCCTACTATGAGCTAGGCCCTGTGCTATATTGTCCTGGTTCTTGTCCCAGTGGAGTTTATGTAACATCCAGCTGCAGAGACAGACACAGTAGGGTGACAAGGGCGATGATGAGAGAGGTACAGGGAGCGTGCAGCCACAGCAAGTGCCCCAGCCTGGTCTAGGGGTGTGGGGATCTAGAAACACCTACAGAGCTGTGTCAGAGGTCTTTCACACCCCTCCCCTGACACATGCGCATAGCAGGGGCATCTCCCAAGAATGTTGAGGAAAAGACAGGAGGGTCTGAACCACCCTGTGCTCACTCAGGGAGGAGCTGGGGGAACCCTACCCTGTGCGTAGGAAATTAACCATGGGCTTTTCCTTTAGATCCTGGACATCTTGGGTCTGGGTTCCTCTGGCCCACCCATCCCACCTCCGGCCTTATTTTCAATCATCTCCCACCCCCTGAAGCGGCTGCCTCCGGCCACAACAGAAATCCTGAAGCATTTTGTGTTTGTGATCCCACCACCTGAAGAGCTCTCCCTGCAGAAGGAGAAAAGAGGAGGGGAAGCAGAACCAGAGCATTCAAGCACTGTGAGCTCTGCAAAGGTAAGGAGCAAGCCAGCTGCTTGCCCTCCTGACCTTGGCGGGAATTCAGATGGGCAGAAAGAGGCCACTTTCCACATGGTCAGAAATTGAGTACAGCGTTGGCTGTGATGCTCACTGATGTGCTTGCCTTTGACTCATCAGGGATCCTGCCTGGGGACCCCGCATGAGCCTCTCTCAAAATGGCTCATTCTCATCTCCCACCCTTTCCAGCCCCCGTGGGATGGTCTAGGGAACTTGTTGAATTGCTCTGAAGCTTATGTGTGAGAAACAATTAAGCAAGACCAGCTCTTT